CTGGTGAACTTTGCCTGTGACGGTTCCAGGGGAGAAGAACAAGTTCCTGAAAGAAATGTTCACAAGTATCTTCACAAGGATCATAGGCAGGCAAGGCATGGTTTTACGCTGTAATCTCTAAAAAGCAGAGGGTCTTTCTGTGCTTGCATGGTACTCAGCTCAATGGGGTTCTAATCCTAATTGGAGCTGTGGGTACAAATAATAAATGCTACAAAATTAACAGTCCTAAAACCCCAAAGTAAAGATATTCATAGTCAAGACTACATGATGCTGATGCATTGCATCAGTGTGCATTGATCAGCAATCACCATGCTATCATCACAGCAGTCTTAGCACATTAAGTGATGTTACGAACTTAGCATACTGCAATTACAGTATCTGAGCACTAGAGGGTGAGTTAAGGATGAAATGATAGCCACACCTTAGTTTCTCTACTTTTCTAGCTTACATTTTTTTAGACTTTTAATACTTCTTCAGACAAATTGAAGTCTTCAAGTAGCTATTTCAGGTCCCATACAACATTGGGAAAAGAAAGTTATGCGCTCAAGTTCAAACGTTCTTGGACACTGCCATCAGTAATGCAACAGCTCTTTCAAACAGCATGAAGTTAGTTAAAAAGTACGGTAGTTCAAGAAGAGCAGGCTCACACAGTCCTGGATAAAACTGTGCTGTAGACATCATATTTATGGACAGATACATATGTAGGTTTTTTTATAGCAGATAGTGCCATATTCCAAGAGGACAAGTGGGCTTCCCTGGAAAGTAAACTATTACTCAATATGAGCAAGTAACATACGTTGCCAATTAAGGACAGGAGTGGCATAGGCCAGGATTCAATTTTCAAAAGAGAGTAGATAGTGCAGAATAGCCTCTTTCAGAGTTAGCTTCTCAATATTTGGAATATACAAGGGGGAAAAAAAATCACCAATGCACATTTAAACCAGAAGTCAAAGATGCCAATTGCCATTTATCTGGAGAAGGAAACTTGTAATTGCACCCAGCAGCAGGTATCATGACAGAGACAAGAGAAGTGTACAACCCAGTGTTACAGGAGAATTCAGGCCTACATGAATGCAGCTTTTAAAAATTAACCTTTTACTGATTTTTTTAAAATTAACCCTATACTGATAACTATGGGAAAAATTTACATGAACACATTAGAATCCTTGGATTTGATAGGGAAACAGGAAATGGTTTAACTAAAGTGCTGCAATGTGCAAAAGACAGAATCCCCAGTTTTCCAGGGATATTGCCCTATATAGAGGAATACGTGCATTTGTGTGGGCCTTGTCATTTTAGATCAGCTACTTTCCAAAAGAAAAAGCATTGCTATTGATTACAGAATGCCATTTACAAATACTGTTAAATTTTGTTATCAAACTTTGTCATAACAAAGCATTTGTTATATCATCTTCTTTATCAAGCACAAATAAGAATTTTGCAACACTGTTCTATTGCCTGATATGGTCCCCTCATAAATATCACATGCCAATTATACAAAATGTATCATCAGAAATCCTTTCTGAATTCCCTAGAGCCATAGAACAGCAGATGTTTGTTTTTATACTACAGTGCAGTATTAGCTATTATTTTAATATGCTCATGCAAAAGGCACCTTCATATCTCTTTAATCTAGATTACACATTACTTTTTATGAAGTCTTAAATACTTCAGACAATGAGTACAGTTGAAATATGCAAAGTATGAATAAAACACTAATGACTGGCCACTGTGAATAACTCAATTTTGCAAGTGAGCATGCAGATGAAGAACAAAAACAGGAATGCATAAATAAAATGAGCCTTGCTCATTTGTATTAGGTAAACAATTTGAGTCCTAATAATTAACACACACACTACAGAATGTTTTGTCAAAGCATGATGAAACGTGAAAACATCTGTACTACAATTAAACAATTAAATCTGAGAAGTAGTGAGACCCATTTTAGGTGCATACTGTATTCAGTATGTGAATTAGTAAAATTCTGTTTCAGCTAGAAATTACAATTCCATTGTCACTAATTTCTACAGATCACAAATAAATAAATGCAGCTTTAGTTAAAATGGCTTAAATGTAAGTAATTACTGCACTGTGAGTGAAGTTGAATGGTTTCTGGGTTAGGCCATTAAGGCGGAACACTGAACAGTATAATTTTAATTGCTAGAATGGAGACTCGAACTGCATGTAGGCCACGTTCAAGAAAATGAAGAGTACACTTGTTAAAATTAAAGGAAACATGCTTAAATTCTATTCTCATATCTTTAGGTCTAAATGAGAGGAAATTTTTCCTATAATTTTCCAAGTCTTGCTTCCTTCATATTATATGCTATTTTGTTGGGGAGGGGGAAATCAGGCAAAAAGTATCTATATATCCCGTATTTATAATGAATTTGATATAATGGAACACAATACTAGTTTGCTATCCTAGAAAACATGAAAAAAATCAAAAAAACTCAGAGTTATCCGATTATCCAGAACCACGCCTCAGAAAAGGTACTTTGGGTGAGAAAGTGTATTTTGGTAAGAAACTATAGCATGTATATAGTTTATCATAAATCTAATTGAAATATTTTCCATTAACATATGAAATAACCTGGGTTAGTAAAGCATTTAAATATTTCAGGCAAAACAAAAATATTTCCCTTCTTAATTTTTCTGAAAAAAAAAAAAAAAAGAGAGTTCTGCTCATATTTTAGAAACATAACTGAAATATGATTAGGCAGCAAGAAACACTCCTTTTTCCCCACAGCAAATATTGAAGGCGTTTTTCCAATTTAACCTTTCCTCTGCAAAAGAAAAAAAAATTGCAACATAGCAGGTATATTTGCCACACAGCAGATCTCTTCTTGGATTTCAGACCACCAACCATATCCTATCATGGATCTTAAATAGTTTACATTACTTCTTTTGAAGGATTAATCTGAACTGGCGTAGATATAAAAACCAAACTGCATAACGCATTCCTAAACTGAATAGTCTTGTACTGTAAACCTGGTTAAAAAACCCATATGTTCTGTAAATGTGTGTGTGTGTGTTGCTTTCATACTACATACATTGAAATCGCTGTCAGGAATATGCAAAAGGACAAGATGGTTTTGTACAAAACCTCAATTTATTTCAGAGAAATTAAAAATATGGTATTTAATATATATAAATTTCTATTCCTCTATAAATATAGATGATCTTGTGATAATGAACAGAAATAAATGCATACCGAATTCAAATAACTTTGCATTTCAGGGTATGGGAGCCATAGATAACATTTATGAACCTAAATACAGGTGCTTGTTATATAAAAAGTTATAACAATACAATCAGGAGTGTAGCATGTAGCAGTCTGCTGTTCTTCATACAGAGGACTAAATATTAAAATGAAGCTGTCAAGAGTTACATTTCATGCATCTTGTTTAAACCTGTTTAACCCTGTCCCCTCACACTTATCCAGGAGCAATATGAGATAGTAGACATATTGCATGCATGCTTTCTTACCTCCACAGTATGCAGTGTAATTACTGTGCTAAAAAAAGGGAGAGGTTCCTTAAGGTCTCATAGCCCACCAGATTGTTTAACCATTTTTCCCTCCTAGTAGTCTAAAGCTTCCTTCCTTCCTTCATAACAACAAAAACAAACTAGAATTCAAAGGAGGGTTAATGTTTTTAAACATTTTGAAACTGGAAAGTCAATTTATAGTTTTAATTTTTAAAAATCTGAATGCTGCATTTCATTCTGATAGAACTCTTTTTACTGAGTTCATATTTCCTGATCCTGTTTATATTGAGCTGTCTGTTAATCTAAGCAAATATCAGCATCTCAACAAAGCATTCCAGGTAGTTCTCCCTCAGCGGTTTCATTACCAGAATAATATTATCATAAACATACACAAGCTTACCCATTGCCGAAGCAGATGGCTAAAACTGAGCACACAATTAGAATCAGGAGTAGAACTATTCTTGGTCTCTCTTTCTTGCACACAATGATAAACTTTTTGTGACGGTGACAGCCAATAAATCACCCAGACCAGTCATCTCTTGCTTTTACCTTTTGCGGGGGGTTTAAAATATAACTTTATAGGGAAAGTTTAATATCCATGTTCTCGTTTTTAAGCCATCAGACCTGCTACAGGTTCAGGTGGCGTTAAGACCTCTGATCTTGACCATTAAAAAGCCACAATTCTCCTTTAGCTACATGTGACGGTGACAGCCAATAAATCACCCAGACCAGTCATCTCTTGCTTTTACCTTTTGCGGGGGGTTTAAAATATAACTTTATAGGGAAAGTTTAATATCCATGTTCTCGTTTTTAAGCCATCAGACCTGCTACAGGTTCAGGTGGCGTTAAGACCTCTGATCTTGACCATTAAAAAGCCACAATTCTCCTTTAGCTACAGTTAAATAATTTTTTTAAAAGAGAGAAC